GGAAGCCGACTCCATTCTGTTTGGCCGGCTGGATGCTGATTGGCCGGGAAGCCGGCTACCCAGCCAATCGGCATCGAGGCCGGCCAAACAGATCTGACAATATGGTGACACGACCCAGCACCTAATTCCCCTCACATAGATCCGTATCGCATTCATTAACGTACCAGTCCCTCGGCCAGCGCTCTCCAAGTGGGCAGACACCGCTCTCCAAGATCTCCTGTGTACAGCGCCCACGTGATCGGCGCTCAGCCTGCTACTGTGCATGCGCAGACTGCCCAGTGCTCTCATTCAGAAATCCTGTGCATGCGCAGAAGCAGGCTGAACGCTGATCACGTGAGCGTTGTGCAGTGTGCACACAGGAGATGGCAGATCTGGCCAAGGAACTGAATGCTAAGGATCTATGTGAGGGGAATTAGGTACCTGCAGGGTGGGGGTCGTGTTTCTATATTATCAGATTTGTTTGCCCGGCTCGACACTGATTGGCTGGTAAGCCAGCTTCCCGGCCAATCAGCATCAAGCCAGCCAAACATCATAGAGCCAGCTTTCCGGCTCCATCTTTCCTCGCGGCACTGCCAGTCAGAGGAAATCTTCCTCTGACCGGAAATTCTAGTATCGGGAAAGGTATCGGAGCATTTGGGCGAGTACAAGTACGCGCCCAAATACTCGGTATCGGCACCGATACTAGTATTGGTATCGGTGCATCCCTAATTATTACTATTAGATCAATCTAAACCACAAGCAAGAGCATATAATATGATCACATTTTCATGAGTAGTAAAGGAATAACATCCTTTCAGACTATCATGCCAAATGAGATGAACAATTTTTGAGAACTCTAGGTCTGAAAAACAAGGATCACTATGCCATCATTCCACCATTTCCATCTAGGTTGGACCAGGGCATACCGTATTCCAGTGACAATTGGAACACTGTACGCATATGTGGGGATAATTTTTTAAATATATAGACTTGATTGATAGAATGCTATACACTTTCTTACCTCCTGCACTCGCATGTGGAAGTAGACCCTTGGTTGAAACACGTTGAGAATTCACTGTCTTCTCATTACTTTACATATTGACATTGTCTATTGAGACCAATGGACATTTTTTATTGATTATTTGGACCACTATGCATATGTGGCTATTTATGATGGACATGAGGTATTTATGAAAGCTAAATCTTTATAAAGTAAAGCCTTTTAAATTTGATTTGAAATCAAGTGTTAATAACTATGTAAATGATAACGATATTATTTGACAAGACATTATTTAGAAAATGTGTCATACAAGCAGCATTTTGGGTGTGCGGACCTATAGTTTACCAATTCCATTTCAAGTCAATTTAAATTGAGTATTTTTATAATGTGACAAGTGTCAATGCATGGAAATGTATGTAAGTGCAACACATATTAATGTACATGTTGTAGTGGAAACAAGCCCTAATGGTGGATTATTCTGCCACAGATGGCAAAAGGGTACTCACTTCCATGGTGGATTGCTCTCCTATGTCTAAGGGTATGTTTGTACTTCAGACTCTTCCCCTTATCAAAAAACAAAAATATGAAACTCTGGCCTAGTTAAGGAGAAACTACTGGTGTGCTGCAACCCTGTGTATTGCCAGTGTCTAGTCCTATGCACCTTTTAACCTACACCTAATAGTTAGCAACATAATTAGTCCACTTTATTGTGTGACCAATCTACGCTTTGAATGGTACAAAAAAGAAAAAACACCTTACAAAAAAGGTATAACATTAACAAAAAAAAGCTAAGCAGATTAAGAGCTAGCCACACATTAAAATATTAATTAACCAGATCCCTGGGATCCTACAGCAGAAGACCATTAAGGTATACACAAATTATATGTAACTCTTTCAGAAAATCTTGTTTATGTATGATTTATTTGTTTAATCCTGATCCTCCAGGGCCCCAGCCACAGTTTTATTTTTAATGTGTTTTATGCATTTATTAACCATCTAAGAATGTTTCCTTTCTTTAATTGCAAAGAATCGCAGTTAGCCTGCTATGTACATGTAATTTTGATCAGTTTTAGATTTATGTTTATAGTACTTACACTATATATCTGTGAGGGTTCCTTGTTGCACTTTGTGTTTGTGCCTTTGCTTAATTTCATCTAAAGCCGATCTCCAAGCAAAAAAACATAAGTTGACCTTCTGAGAAATTCAACGGCTTATGAAATAAGGTTGGGACAGGCTCTGTAAATTCCCTATATAACACTTCTGAAATGTCTATGTCATTGCAAGATATAGAAAGTCATATACTATGACAAGGCAGTCTTAATGGGTTTTATTTTAATCAATAATCTTTTTTTAACTTTAGAAAGATTTATGTACACTATTTCAAAATGTAATAGTAAAATGTCTCCATCTGATGGTCACATCAGTGCAAAGTAATTTTAAGTTAAAGAATTTTGTAAAGTATCAAGCATGGTAAAGTGAACTTGTGCTTGCTTCAAACTTCCAATTAAATGCAGAGGAACATCCTGTTTCTTTAATTCATGGATTCACTTAAAATCAGGTCCAGCGTATATTTAGTGGCAAAGCAATTCCATGTAGTGACAGTATCAGTATGAGAAGCACTAAGTGGCTTACCCAGCATCAGTTTATTAAACTGCTTACTATAGATGAGGTTATCACAGGATTGTTTGGATATAAAGCCAAGCACTCCATGTGGATATGTTCATATGAGCAAGAGTGTTGCATGTTAACTCATTTGGACTTAAGAAAAGAAGAAAGACTTAAAGGAATCTCTGATTGTGTACAGATTGTATGGAGATTTGTAAGCCTGGCTAGATTTACCATTAGGCACAGTTGGATTGTAGGCAAAGAGGGGTCCTTTTTCTGCATAGTTATTGGTCACACATTTTTTCCCCATTATCAGTACAGTAATCTCACATTATCTTACATACACATTGTCACAATAATCTAACCCAGGTTAGGACCAAAAAAACAAGAAAATGTTCTATGTAAAAGGTGCCAAATGTTACACGTGTACAGGCTACATGCTAAAATTCCAACCAACTTTTAATGGGTTTCTTAAAGTCTCCTGTCTCTAAAGTACTGCCATACTTTATTAAATTGCACAAACATTGCATTATCAGTTAAATAACAATTTTTTTTAATCTACTACATGATTCAAAATTTGTTACATAATCACACAAACCATTTTTTTCTTTACAAAATAATTTGTAATATAGCCTCTTCAAATGCTGTCCTAAAACAGAAATCAGTTTGCATAAAGGAAAATAAAAGTCTAGTGTGCTATCACACTCCATCCAAAGGTTTATACCCCTGATAGTAACATAACATGCGCTCTGCTGAGGATGAGTTTACTTTTGTTCAAGTACTTTTTAAAATTCCTGTGTTCAGTTTATTCTTATCAGAAATATATGTTTGGTGTGTAGGTACACCAAAAAAAAACCTAAATTCTGTACAAAATAAATTATACCAAAACTGGTTTATGAGAACTATTTATATACTAGATCTAGTACCAAGTGCATTTTTGTTTAAAAGGTGTCCATGCACCTTTCTCATCTGCTTATCAAAGCTCAAATAAGCTGTACTATTATGCTAAAATACATTTTTAAAACAGTCATACCCTAAAAGCTTACTGGAGTAAATGTGCAGGCTGCCTTTCATGGTTCTATAGCTTATTATTGTCCATTAGATTTGGCTATAATGCAGACTGTATAAAGACAAAATAAAAGAAAATTACAGTGAAAACTAATATCTGTCCATTCTAAGTGGAACTGCTTATACTGAACCATGTATTGCAAATCATTTACCTCTCCCACTCATTCCACAACTGACATGTTTGCAAAACTAATATAAAATGTTTGCTAATAGTGGACCTGTCTCCTAAATAGTAAAGGCAGTCTCCTAATTACAAGACTTGCCTACCCCTACATATACTAAGGGTCAAAATTCTGAAATATTGTGAATGGGCAGTACAATGAGTAGCATGCAAATATGGCATTATCTGCAGTGTTTACTACAGGTGAAACTCGAATAATTAGAATATCGTGCAAAGTTCATTTATTTCACTAATGCAACTTAAAAGGTGACACTAATATATGAGATAGACTCATTACATGCAAAGCAAGATAGTTCAAGCCGTGATTTGTCATAATTGTGATGATTATGGCTTACAGCTCATGAAAACCCCAAGAACCCCAAATCCACAACCTCAAAAAAGTAGATTATTACATGCAATCAATAAAACAAGGATTGTACATAGAACAATATCGGACCTCTGAAAAGTACAAGCATGCATATGTACTCAGTACTTGGTTTGGGCCCCTTTTGCAGCACTTACTGCAATTACTTTTGCACGATATTCTAATTATTCGAGTTTCACCTGTATGTCTATCAACCAGCTTTCATACATCTTTGGACTAAAGGTAATTTGGATGAAAAACATATGTGAAGAGAAATTCAAGATACAATCTCTCATTGACAACACAGTTACATAGATTAAGGAGCTATGCTATCCACTATCACTTTGCAGGCAATTCAGGCAATTTCAACCAGCTTTCAATTGCAAAATAAACTGAATGGCTACAACCTACAACCAACATTTTAGACCATTTCATGGTGTCTATAGAAAATGTTGTTGATAGGTTGCATTCATCTGCTTGATTTTGAACATGAATGAAATTGCCTAAAAAATGTATTTGTGGCCAGCATAACAACCTGAAGATATGACTCTGTAAGAGACAGCTCTACTTATATTGCTATACATTTCCAGCTTGCTCTATACTAAGATACTGTGGGATGAGGTTTAAGAAAGTTACAGTATAATCATGCTTGAATTGCTCTTCAATAATTTGTCTTTTAACTATTGTCCACTTAATTTTATTTTCATAAAATATTGTTTCAACTAAAATCAAAGTTCCTTCGCATGGGCATGAGAGCTGTCTATGTCTGCGGAGGTGTGCACGTGTGACGATACCCATCCTTTCTAAAGACAGACTCCCTTAGTTCTGCAGAATGTCTCACCCAGTACCAGCTACAAGGTGATAGCAATATATTTTAAGAATGTCCAGACATAGCAGCAGGACATTCAAGCTTTATGTCAAGTTGTACAGCTCCTGAGTATATGCAGTCCAACTCTTAAAAATATGTTTACTTTAAAATAACTTTGCTATGAGTGTTAACAATTGACAATATTTCTTATCTCTCCTAGAGAGCAGTAATTAGAACAACCATCTTAAAGTGTAAAATATATATATTAAACATTGGTCTCCTGCAAATGAAGACTATAAGTAAAAGTCACGATACTAAGTTTCTTTTGAATTCATGTACAGCTTTGCAGACTGTGAATCATCCAGAAATTAATCAGCTTCTGAATGGAAGATTAACACAAAACTCCTGGTATTCAAATGCATTCTCCATTAGACCGGTAATATATCACTTTCATCGTTCTCTTCCGGCTCACTGCTGGATTTTGACTGAGCACTAAAGGGCATTTCCCCAGTGTCTTTGAAATGTGCTCCAGGCTGTGAGTCCAATGAGTCTGTAGTGAGCTGTGTTTCCATGGTAGGCATGCTCTCTGGAGCTACAGCTCTATGCCTTCTCTCTAGACACAGTTGACTTGTCCTGTTAAATAATTTGGCAATCCATGGTTTGGGGATCACATGCTCCAAACTCTCCTGAATTCTGACACCATCAAGATTTGTAAAATGCAAATCAACCTTTATGATGATGTCATTCTATGTATAAAACAAAATACAAATCATTAATATTATCATTAATAAAATATATAATAAACTGGTGAGAGCTAAGAGATACCAGTTACATACCTGGCATTTCTGTAGGCTGTAAAGCCTAAGCATACAGTCTGCTTCTTCACCATCATCTTCCAGGGCCACCAGAGAATCTACTGGGTCACGTTTGCATGCATTTGAGTCACCTGCCATGTCCTACAGGAAGCACAGTATACAAATGACTTAGAGATGCAAGTGAACAGTTGTGTGCAGATGTGAGGGAAGCAGGCTGTGATGTTTTAGCATCAGAGATTTTATTGTGAAGGGCAAGGAGAGGTAACCCTGTGGCATTTCTCTCTCTATTCTCATAAGTATAATTTTCTACCCACAGGAAGAAATTGCCTATGTGGGCTGTTTTGGCAGAAGAGTTAACAATTTTAGCAATTTTGAATTCTTCAGGGCAAGGCAGAGGTATACAAAGATACATCTGGATCTAATGGACCCAATAGCGAACAGGAGACATTTATTGTTTTATACATATA